TTTTATGTTTAGAAAGAGGCTGTAGACAAGGTGATCCTATATCCCCCTACATATCTTCTAATGCGTTGAGATACTGGTATTCTATACGGAAGAAATAACAACATAAAAGGTATTACTCTTTGGAATGAAGAATTTAAGATATCGCAGCGTTAGCTGACGACACACTCATTTTTAGATGGTTCAGAAGATTCTTTAAGAGAATCTTTACAGGTACTTGAGTGGTTCTATCAGATCTCTGGTCTAAAAACAAACACAGAAAAGAACCAAGTTAGTGTGATTGTGCTACAAAGGGAGTCAGATAGGAGGTTTTGTAGAGAGATACATCTAAAATGGTTAAAGAAAATTTCACAAATCTAGGAGTCACCGTATAGTACAGAGCTTGAAAAAATTATTAATATAAATATTGAATCAAAAATTAACAAGTGTATAAAGCTCTTATTAAACATATGGCAAAGAAAGAAACTAACTCCTTTAGGTAAAATAACGTGTTGAAATCCCTTATCGTGCAAAAATTACAACCATTTCTAACATCGCCTGCCTAACCCGTCTGTACAAATTATGCATGAGTTAAGCAGTATGTTCAGTAAATTCATATGGAAAATAAAAATGACAAAAATAAAAAGAAGAAATTATCAGAAAGATTACAACAGGGCGGTCTGAAATGCTAGATATACATGTATATGAAAAGTCTTAACTCTCGCGTGATTAGAAAATAATGACAGCTAATAATAAATGGAATATCTTCCTTTCTACAGTATATTGATTCCACCTTTGCCACACTAGGCCCTAATAAGGAAATTAAAGTAGCTATCCCTTTTGAAGGATTTATAGATGCATGGCAAAATTTTAATAATAACATTGTACCCAGCTCTTATAGACAGAACTGTCTTATTGCGAATTCCCATTAATGTACAACACGAAACAAATCAATGAGAGTTCGATTAACTGCCAACTGGAGTAGCACTATTTAGGAGATGTTAATGACTATCATTAGAGTACTATGACTATCGCACATAGACTGACAACTTTTCATACCAAGATCACGTAACAAAAAATTGATTCGCTATATAGCAAGCTTACTATATCTATATATGACTTACGGAGAAACTGTATAAATCAATCAACCCACAGCTGAATAGCATAAATCTATTCTAAACATAAAAAGCCAGATGCAAATTATGACCAACCAGCCAATACTACCCCTTGGAAATTAATTTTAAGTACCTCGGTAAACGAGGACATGTACCAACTATTTCCTACAAACATCTTCCTAAAAGAAGCAACTACAATTACCTCCAGTGGTGGATTTAGTTCCAAACAACGATACCTAGAAATGCTGCACTATAATTCTTAGATGCGCCACACAATACATCACTAACACATAGATTTTTTGTCACATCCTACGATATATAGTGCCTCTATCACTCTCTTACCCAGCAGCGTGACTCCTGGAATACCAAATCTTAAGGTTATATGCAATATCCGAAGTAATTGATACATGATGACCGCTAATAAAACCTAAACATTTCATCCCCTCAATTTAATTATGTTCTATTATCCTTAAATGATTCGACTAGAGACAGATCGCCCATTTTTATAGTACGGTATTCATTAAGCAGAGAGTGCCGCAAACTATCATAAACACGTTCCCATCCAGCTTGAAATTAAACAAAACGTTCGAAATAAACTCGCCTACTTCGTTCTGAGGCGCAGCGCAATGGATGGCAAATGTGGTTTATCACTAACACCCTTCAACATCTTCTTGAAACCGAGCAGACCATCTATCATCCACGGCGTCGCGAACAACTGATCTCCATTACACATCAAAACCTCCCTCATATATTTTGGACGCCTGATCAACCCCTCCTCCTCATAAACTATCTACATATCCTTTAATTATCTATGGGTGGTATTATAAACGGGCCAAAGACAAAAGGAAATCCGAATCGCCCCCCAACTGCCGCCCCACCCCGCCAATGCTCCCCACTGGGCTCGTCACGCTTAAAAAGCGGCATTATTGAAATCTCTTCCAACAGCAAAGGCAACCACACCCCGCCTCACTATACAATACCCGATCCCACGCATAGACCGCATAACGAAATACACACCATGTCTACACCGCCTCTTTCTAACTAAAATGACCGACATCTATCATCCCAACTTCCTGGATTATACAAGATCACAGCCCCATGCGCTGAACAGATCCGTGCACTATATAAAAAGTATTAAACACAGAAATATAGTACATACCCAATATTATTAATAATACTGAAAACTAAGTTACCTTATGCTCTAAATGGCAGCTGTATATCACCTGTAAGAGATGAAAGTCGCTACCCTGGCAGTCAGATCTTGTCTACTGTACTAGCGTGGACAGTGGACCATACCTAATGGCCAACCATCGATATCTTGTAGATTAATATTATATCTATAAGCGTAGAGTCGAAAATCATAGCATAAAGAGCGTAGGGATGAGGAGAGATCCGCAGGGTGAGGGGCCTACCCCCTATAAACCTAAATTGTCTTTAACATCAATAATTATGTAATGACTACACCATTTTTATAAAAGCATGTTTGAAAGAGTGACATAATGCATATACAGAAACATAATTAAAAAAAGTTCATTTGGTTTACGTGGCTTTCTGCTGGATATGTCTTGCGTCTCATAGTTACGAGGCAATTGTCAATCTAAATTCATGCTAACACAAGACGAAGTCACCAACTTCGCACTCATATGCTCTTAAAATGCAATAAAAACGGAGCTATTTTAACAATCTCTGGGGCACGGCACCACCCGATGCCCCTCTCCTGCCCCATACCGCCCCCACCGCCTTACAATTTGCCCTCTACAAATCCAAGTGCCCTTTCCCACACCTGCACCCCCCCCCCCTAGACAAACCTGCATCAAGCCCCTGGTTATGTTAGTCAAGTAAATTAATACATGATTCGGTAACGTGAATACGATTCGGATCGAATTTCGATCGAAGAACAGAAAGAGTGCGCAGTAATGTAGCGCAGTAATAAAGTCCAAACTCTCAGCTCTTCCATTCTAATCTTCCTAAAATTCTCGCTGCTTCGCTGCAGCTATGGACTCCGTCAGCGCCGCCTACCACTCGGACGCCGATCCCATAAGCTCCATGCGCTGCAGTCACTGTCGAGGCGCACATTGCCGCGGTCGCGTGCCGCCTTGCGCCGCGAACTGTGCGCGAGCACTTCTGCGCGTATAGCGCTTGGATCCAAACACCTCCTTCGGCAACCGCTTCTCTAGTATCCGTCTCCATCTGAACTAGTACTATACTATGTACCATTATTGACCATAATTACTGTACCCTAACCTTGAAAAATTCCATGAGGCGTTGAGACAAAATCATGATTTATATTAATGAAGGTCCTCAGGACAGCTTAACTCTGCACTAATATGAAACGACGTCAACTCGACATTTACACGTATCTTAAATGTTATAGAAATAGATCGAGATGAGCTTCATCCAATATATGGACTATAATTATACTATATAATACTATATATCTTATATATATATACATTATAATATATATTATGATATAATATTTGATCTTATAAATAACAAAAAAAGGCTAAGTTTAAAAATAATAGAAGCATCTTTTTACTTATTATATTAGCTCTCAGTATTTCTATTAACATAATCCGGCAAAATAGACAGAAACAAATATTATTTGAAATCCTTGGAGCACTGAAGTGGAATGTAATTAATTAATTATATGTTTACTTATCATGAAAACAATCAGACATGTTTTTCTGTAACTTAATTCATTTATACCTCTAAAATTGATCGCATGAGTTACAGTAAAGACCCGGGTCGTTATATCGCCACCACCAGGCTTGGAAATATTGCATATAACAGGTATTGAGATCAACCACTAAATAGCCTCCAGTTGACTAGAAAACCAATCAACAATAGATGAAATATGATTATAAACAAAAATCAACAATGACAAATACAAATCATATTAACAAAATTTCTGTTTATATACAGAATTGCATTAAAAAAAAATATTATAGTTTCATGTTTGTTTCCAGTGTTTTTGTTGCCCGAATACCAGCACTGTAGCATGTACATTTGACGTTGGCTGGCAGTATTTTATATCCGGGTTCAATCTTCTTTAAAAAAGTTGAAATTGACTTCTGTATTAAACAGTATCCGAAAATCAGGAATCCATGCGAATTGTAGAAGGGACATATGCAGAAATGTCACGTTAAATTAGAATATCCCGCGTTCGACCACAATATTGCAAATACAGTCTGAATTTGACCTCCTATCTATTTAATGAATGATTGGGGCGAGATCTCTACCGCTACAATACACTCTATGTACATAGGACTCACGTGGCTGTGGCGTGTGTATGTTACCATACAGGCCCGTACCAGCTTTTCATGTTGGGGGTTCGTTTTCAATGTTAGCAGTTTGCTCGCAGGGCGTGTACACGGATTGTAACCAGGGGGGTCTAACCGTACCCAAAAGTTCAACCGCAGTCACGCCGAAGGGGGGTCTGGTTGCCTCCCCAGAATTTTTAAAATACACCCTTCGATCTTTCTGCCGGCAAGGGTGGGTTTTTCTGGACTCCCTGGAACCCCCCCCTGTACACGGCCCTGCTCGGCCGAAGCGACCAGGCGAGGGAGCGCAAGCGACCAAGGCGAGGGACCAAAGGGAGCGACCGACAGGGGGAGGTGTGGGAGGGGGTTCACTGTTCACCCTCCGACGATGGAAGATTTTGCACTATATTCACACTAAAATGAGCGACCTGAGGTGAAATTCTGCAAATTTTAGAACAAATTTTTTTTTCCTTGGGGGGAGGCTCGCGGGGGCGGTTCGTTCGAACCCCCAACCCCCCCTGCACGCCTGCATAGATCACTGATCAACCGATACCGACCACACTCGATGCAGTAAAAAAAATAAAAAACCCGCCCGGAAGGGTGCTCCTTTTCCATATGCATTTATATAGACTTGTACATAGCCATAATGCCTGGCGTTGACGTTAACGAGGGAGGTATTACGAGCCTAAATTACTACAAATAGGATACACAATTATCTGTATACTGGCATTTCCTGGCGATAAAGTGGATTGGCGTACTTACGAGGCAAGATAACGAGGTTTTTACTGTACTTTCCACAAACTCAGCATTCGCACATTCCAATAAGGCTTACAGCCGCTGCATGTCCTCCAACTTGAGCTGCTTTGAGTTACCTTTGCCGTTTGCTCGACCTTTTCCGTCCCGTCCAGAGAACTGGTGAGGCAACCAGATTTTTCAAGGAAAAACTTGAGGAACAAGCAGTGCATAAATTTCAATCTTCCTCAAAGTGACTGGCAGTTCCCCTGAAAAAATTAAGCCATAGCAGTAAATTATATTATATATATAATATATATATATTATAGAAGAAAGAATTATATATATATACTAATGTTTTATATATAACCAACCATATACAGCATTTCCTTGTATCCTCTCGGGAAACTGTAATAGTAACTGTCCAGTAATTTATATACTCTATCAACCTCACAGGCTTCCTAGCCATATACGCCTAATGAGTGTCATGATCATACACTATTCAAGATTAGGAACGCGTTAACCTAACCATGAAAAACATACTGGCTAAATGCCAAAGACTACAGTAAATAGTATTTTTTCAGCATTAAGCTCCATTGGCATTGCCCTCCACAGAAATGGTAATAACTAATATACCTTGACAATGTTATTGATATAATCTCGCATCTGGTCAAGCTTGATTTTCGCATTAGCTGTTATTTGAATATACTTATACAAAGAAGATACATTAAGGTCAAACTGATTACTGAATATGCTAATAAAAAAAAACATACCATACAGCTAAGTTGTCTCAACGTATCCTGATTTCAATCAAAATGATATCGACATCACGCGCGACTTGAAGTCTCAGAGTAGTTATTTTCTCCAATCGTCTCACAGCTCTAATCCAGGAAGGCCCCTCCTTAAAAGGAACAGGGAAAGCATGTCTTTCCCCTCTTCCCACAATGTAGTACACAATATTCGGTTGGCATTGTCCCAGGTAAAAACAACATCGAGTTGAAGAACAGAAGTTACAGAACACGGTACGTACAGTACGGTTTTCACTTGTAAACACCGCGCAGCAGTTGTTGCGGAGGACCGAGTTGCTTATCAGCGCCCCCTATATGCCTATTGTTTTCAAATGTACCTCATTCGTTTAACAGTACTTGTTCAAACACATTAAAATCTCTCGATTAACCCTTCATGGGGCCGCCATCTTGGATAAAGCCAGCGCACAGCGAGCGCTCGTGCGTCGTTCAAGAGGCGCTGCGTTCGTGCATCGAGCGTTCGCATCGAGCGCACGCTCTGTTGAACACGCCTCCGATCATCGCGATATTTGCAAAAGGATTGCGCGCATCAGTAGGTGTATATAGGTTGAAATTTCTTCTTGGTTTCACAGTTTCATACTCCAATCCAACTTTATAAAGATATCATACAGGTCTGTATGTATATTTCAAATTTTGCGACATCAGTAGTGGGCGGAACAGGGACAGTCAGGGTACGGTAGGGAGTAAGCGAGGTACGGTCCGGCATATCAGATAGTATAATTTTAATAGCTGTAGTACTATAGAGGGTTCCGCGATTTTTCATATTACCCACAATGCAACGCCGCCGGCTATGACGGATACAGAAACCAGTTCAGGCATGGTACAAGTACATTGAGCAACGCACCTCTGCTTATTTTATTCTCCTATTAAGCAAATACATCACAACACCGCTTTCCTGCGGTGTTGTCAACTGCAGCAATCGGTATCAGAGAGAGCCACACAGGTTTTTTTAGGCTGCCTAGCGTGATCACAACACAAGGTAAAGTGACGAGAGACCAGGCGGACCACAGACGCTTGGAGCATTTTCAATAAAAAAGCAATGCTGAATAAACACGAAATGTATTTACTACCAATGTCTTATAATGTTTCTCTACACTCTTTCGCCTAGTATTGCCGATAATTACCTGTAAATACCGGTCAAATGCTCCTCTGCAACACACAGGTACACCACACGCACGGCGCACTCCGCTATACACATTTACGCTTATATACATATATCGCCGGCATCCAGTAGGCAGCTGTTTGAGTGTGGGTGGTGATTTCTCTTGCACGTGTAGCATACTCTACATCAAATAGCACCGAGGCAACATGTGAACAGAATTCACCAAGCCCGGCTTTACAATTACAGTGTGCTGACATGATGCCTGTCCCATATTCTCTCATCGTGACCCATGCACGGATAGAGAGATGGTATAATCAGAGACTGGTAGTGCATAACACGTGCTCGGATTGCGTAGATGTGACTCTCACTGTTCACATGATAGGTGTAGATTGATACACCCAACCGCAGAACAGTCGATCGTGGGTATCCAGGCTTTTGTGGTTCTGAAAGTCCTTGAGAGTATAAAATGATCTCGGCTAGAATGTTAGGTAGTCAATTCACGAGATCCAAATAAGTACGTGATGGGCACAAGTTGTGGTCCTCGCTCCATTCTCGTACGGATGTCGATTCCCAATGCACGCAATTTTCTCTAGATAGCGTCCTTTGGCTACGTTGTCTAGTGAATCAAAGTACTTATCCATACTACGTACACTACAGACAGCTAGTCGACAAACGTGCATACGCTAGCTATTATAAAAAGCTGCTTTTGATAGCTAGAGTAGATGCAGTAAAATCGGTAAAATTTCTGAACTCTCACGATGTAAACAGACTCAAGTCTATGAACATAATGTGTTGCGTGCAATCTTCCGATCTGCTCAATCTACGAATCTGCCGACTGTGTGGCAGCCTCATTGAACTGCAGCACCTAAAACCCACGCTGATAAACTTGTCTGGCAAATCGGGATCCTCTTACTTCTAATATCTATTGCAATAATAACACTATGGCCATATGTAAAATCGGTTGATTGTGCATAGGGGTGAATTACACGCTATACGTGTTCGCTCTTTTTGTAACCGGTATGGGCCGCGGCACGGGATTGTAGGTAATATTGCTATTTTTAGACCAAGTCGAAGAACCCTCTAGAGCCCGCTTACATTGACTGCCGCTGACATGCCGCTTACATTGACTAGCCCGCTTACATTGACCAGCGGCAGTCAATGTAAGCGGGCTATAATACTAGAGCTAATCAGATAGAATTACCAGGGTACGTTCCTGTGGAGATCTCGGGGGTGTATCACTTACAGGAGTAGTAGACTAGATCGGGACCAATAGACTGAACTCACCGTATAGAGAGAATAACCATATATATTGACTAAAGAGAGGATAAGATATAGATTGCACATAAATATAGACAGCGTGTAAACATTGACACCTGGGCGCGGCCATATTTTACTGCTGGTGCTGCCGCCTGTCGGGCGAGAATAAGGAAAATTACTTAGGCTGGGGTTACGCGTTGGGCAACCGAGCGGTACCGCGCAACCGAGCGGTACCACGCGTTGCGCAACTGAGTGAGCGCCTAACCGGTGAATCAGCGGGCACTGCCAGGTACGGGTTGCACCACGCCTTAGGGGGGGGGTGAGTCACCACGGTACGGCCAGGCACAGCGATTGCGAAATCGGCGGGCCGGCTGGGTATATAAGGAGCACAGAATCGCAGCTAGAGGCAGTTATAGGTACAGGTCCAGGA